AAACGATCACTATGGCATTACTGTGAGTTGAAAAACTGTCTAAAGTCTTTCATCTTTAATAAAATGATCAGCGTTCTGCTCTACCAGGTGTAACAATTGAGTTTAACATCCAGGCATCCATGAAAACAGAATTTATGACATTTAACGGAGTTAGAAGTTAGCAGGGAGTTAGCTCGCTAGCTTCTATCTAAATACAATATAGCATGTCCTGACTGCGGGGTTTTGGAAACAAATTCAAACGTACAGCTCTGTTATCACTTCCAACATAAATGAAGACAGAAAGCTAAACAGCAGTGACGTTTGTAGGGTTACTGAAGTTTGGCTAGCTGGTATATAATGATGTGCTACGTGACCGCTAGCGACACAGCTATGTTAGCATAATATAAACAAGCTAACTTTTTTTCCACTTGATAAAAGTTACCGTGAGTGTTCTCGGTGGTCAGGAACAAATGTAATTGCATGGCAGGATGCTGTAAACGGACCAAACTTCAGCCAGGAGAACAACTGAGAACAACCATCCACAATACGAGGTTAGTCATTCATATACTGCTGCATGGGCTGGGCTGTAGTTACATCCTAAGGTTTTAAAAACTGAGCTTAAATAAATGATTAGCGGTAATAAAAGCCGAGGGAGGTCAACAGTGATCGCTGACTGTTTTAGGAGCTTTTTGAGATCAAATAGAAGAAAATACATAACATTAAACATGTTAACAACACAAATGCCATATTAAACGCAGACTACTTTAGACCCGGAAGTAGGATTCGTCGCGTCATCACTGAACAACCGGATTGCAGTCTATTTCTCATAATGACGACTCCCCTCAAACAAATGACCATAATTTCCTAATCGTAGGGCTAGAGCGGTCATTCTTACACCGTTTTGTTCAGAAGAGATGGGGGAATCTTCAAGTGTTGACAATTTATCATTAAAATATGAATTTTTAGAGATACATGACATGGATGACTTGTTGACTTAGAAGCCACGAATTCCCCAATATGCAAATTTGAATGCCTCAGACCACATATATGATTGGCTGGCTGGGAAGCCGTGCAGGCCCTGATTTGTGGATTTGAATTCCTCAGCCCTCAGATATGATTGGCTGGCTTAGAAGCCATGAAGGCCCCAATATGCAAATTTGAATGCCTCAGGACACATATATGATTGGCTGGGAAGCCGTGCAGGCCCTGATTTGAAAATTTGAATGTCTCAGTCCTCACAGAGGATTGGCTGCCTGGGGACCTGGCAGAAATATATAGAAATACTATGATTAAGCATAAATACTACATTTAGTAGAAATACTATGTTTTAGCACAAATACTATAAAAGCAGAAATACTATAATTTACCAGAAATACTATATTAAGCACAAATCCTATAAAAAGCAGAAATAGTATGATTAAGCATAAACACTACATTTAGTAGAAATACTATGTTTTAGCACAAATACTATAAAAAGCAGAAATACTATAATTTAGCAGAAATACTATATTAAGCACAAATCCTATAAAAAGCAGAAATAGTATGATTAAGCATAAACACTACATTTAGTAGAAATACTATGTTTGAGCAAAAATCCTATAAAAAGCAGAAATACTATATTAGGCACAAATCCTATAAAAAGCAGAAATAGTATGATTAAGCATAAATACTACATTTAATAGAAATACTATGTTTTAGCACAAATCCTATAAAAAGCAGAAATACTGTAATTTAGCAGAAATACTATATTAGGCACAAATTCTATGAAAAGCATAAATAGTATGATTAAGCATAAATACTACATTTAGTAGAAATACTATGTTTTAGCACAAATCCTATAAAAAGCAGAAATACTGTACTATGATTTAGTAGAAAAACTATAAATAATCAGAAATACTATATTTTGCACAAATCTTATAAAATAGCAGAAATAGTATGATTTAGCACAATAGTAATAAGTTAAACAGAAAAATTTGAAAAGCAAAATGGACAGCTGAAAAAATGCTGAACATGCTGAGGGTCCCTCAAATATACTTGTTAAATGAAAAAATCAGCAAAAAAATGCACAGGGAGAGAGAAGTAAGTTTCTAGGTCAGCCTGGGAGCTGCTGAATTTGAATCCACCAATCAGAGAGCCTGTGTACTTTTTCCCGCCAAAACAGGTGCATCTATTTACACACGCAGCACAGAGAGGCACAGGATTATTGCAGCCTATTTCTCATAGTGACGACTCCCCTCAAACAAATGACCATAATTTCCTAACCGTAGGGCTAGAGCGGTCAATCTTACACCGTTTTGTTCAGAAGAGATGGGGGAATCTTCCAGTGTTGACAATTTATCATTAAAATATGAATTATTAAAGATATTTGACTTCTAATGCACCATAACTGAGTAGAGCGAAGCAAAAACTGGCTTGACTTGCCCTCAAACAACGCTTTGTAACTCGAAATCTATTTGGAGTATCGATATCATTCTTTCACCGTAAGAGACAGCAGGCGTTGGTGAACAGTCATGGAAATTTTCAGGTCTCTGTGGAAATCCAACAAAAAGTTATGACGAGAGAAAAAAGTGGTTCATTTCCAGGGTTTGAAATCTGAAGAAATCTGAGCGACGGACGAATTTCCTACCCTCAAACAAGTCCAACTCATTTCAGAACGGTAATACGTGAGAAAGAAATTCTTGAATTGTGAGCGTCACGAGTGTCTGAAGATATACCGGGACAAGCCTCATGTCTTAACTTTGCTTCGTTAAGGAGATATGATGATTCGAATATGCCTCTCATTACAGAAATGCAGCGGTGATTTTGAACAAACTCTCCATTCACTTTATATGGAGAGTTTTCCGACATTGTGTTGGTCTGAGGAGATTTGCGAAAGTTCTATGAATACCACAACAATGATAGTGACATTTTCGGAAACCCAGCAAAAATACCTATGTTTTGATGTATAATTTGTGGAAGTTGAGTGAAGATTGAGCAAGTAGCAAGAAGTTGTTCGGACATGAAGAGAAGACTGCAAAACCTTCAGTGGCACACTGGAAGCCAAGTGCATAGCAACCATAACAACGCATGTATTTTGTGAAAAATCACAATTTTGCAACTGAAAACTTTAAGAGGCATAAAGGTAAAACGGTAAAAGATTTGAAAAAGCTGAATCATACCTGAATAGCCCAATAATTTGAGAACATTTTAAAGTTTGAATGGTTGTTCTACGTGAAAATATGAGGAAGTAGTTAAGTTTCAGAAACAAGCAAATTTTAGCAGAATTGCAGAAGTTTCCCATTCATTTCAATGGGACAAATTAAGCTTAATATTTTAAAAAGTATAATAGTGAAAAATACCAAAAGACATAGCAGGAATTAGCAGAAATAGCAGAATATTTTAAAATTTGAACGGTGAAAATCGGCTGAAAATTGTGGAAGTAGTTAAGTGCCAAAAAGTGTACGGAAGTCCCAAGAGGAACTCAAGAGTGTGGATGCTTAAAGCATCCACACAATAATAAAGAATAAAGAGAAACAGGAACTCAATAGTGTGGATGCTTAAAGCATCCACACAATTACAATGTAAATTCACAGGTATCCAGCTTCTTGAATTAACAAGCAAGTGATGATGATCAGTGTATGAATAACTAATAAGCACAGGAAAGCAACTGGTGCTGAAAGAAAAAGACAGCTCTTTGAGGCTGGCTGTGGGAATGAATCAATCTGCATACTGTAACAACCCTTTTGGGTTATAGCACCACTAGGGGGGGTTGCCCTACTATTGTAGTAGCTATGGGAGTCTCCTAGGGGGTGTGTGAGTTGTTAGCGGCAGCCATTACATGCTGCTCGTGTTCTGTTCTCAGGATAGACCTCACCGTTGTAACGGCCTGGCACCGGCGACTACCGATCCCCGCACATGTATGTACGGACAGTGTAGAGCCGTGGAGACCTGGCTTGTATGGTCTTATGTTGCTGACAAGGAATAAAGGTCTGTTGTTTAATTTAACTGACTGGCTCCGTGTTATCCGGCTAACCTCCACACCACATGCCCGCTGGACCGCTCCTTCCTCGCCAGACTGCTGTTACAATACGCTGACTTCACACTGCAGTCCAGAGAAACGAATGACTACACCCACTTCTATATAGTCTATATATAAACCTTTAAAAAAGCAGTGTGTACGACTTAGGGCAGCTAGTGGTGAAGTTGCAGATAGCAAACAGCTGCTCTGGCCTCGCCTTCATCTTCCGAGCAAATAGGAATACTTGCTGTGACTGCTAAACATGTTAAATGTCGTCTGTGAAACGAGAGAGGGCCCTGGTTTGTTTCTCTGTAAAGCCTTACAGAGTTCACTGAAGTCACCTAGTGAGCTCATTGCAATAGTCTCATCAGTTTTCTCCAATAAAAAGAAACGGCTGATTAAACTAGATGTGCAATAAAGAACGTGTTTTAACTTCTATTTGCATGAAAGCTTTTCAAAAATACTTGAGAGCCTCAGACTTTGTGAGAGCATCAGTTTGCACGTTGGGACTAGACCAAGACGTACATCGGAATGCCCGTAGGGGATATATCACGTGATGTTCTTTAAGTAACTGACACATATTTGTTATGTACAATATGTACAAGCCCCTATGCGAAGGGGAAGCCTATATTCAGTCACCTATGGAATATGGACAGTTTACATTTGACATTTATAGAACGATTGACTTACACTCTCCCTGTAGATATAACGGGCCTTTTTTAAAAGCCCACTTTAAAAAGATCAAAAGATCCGCAAGCCCTTTAAGTTCTAACCTATTTGATTTCTCAGTTACTTGTTACCCGAGTCTTCTAGTCGTTACTGAGTACACAAAAATAAAAATAAAAATTCCCTCTTCGCTCCTAGATTCCGATTCATCTCTATGATATACTTTATTCCCATTTCAGACGGAACACTTTAAGTGCTGTCACTCAGTGCGGAATAATTTGCAGAAACTTTCTTCTTTCTTTTGACTGATATACTAACAACATGCTGAGGAATCCAATATCTTCATTAATGCACTTACCACAAAAAGACCCTTGAAAAAAAGCTGGCAGTGGCCAAAGGATTGCGCCTGCTGTCTGCCTTTGTAGTCTCCATATTAGATGGGTGCTCTGAGGCTGCTGTCTGTACCCATCTGTACACAGTGTTCACTCAGGGACGACTTCGATCACTAAATGTATAGTTGGCTTGCGTCATGTAAAGCCAAGACTGCTGAAGCTGTTCTGTGTTTCACTAAACTGTCTCCACCTGTTCCCAGGTGTAAATGCACAACAAGAGGCGGAGTGTTTAACTATAAAGTAGAAATGAGCCTAGTGAGCTTTCTGAACCTCCAATGGAAAAAAAAAATCTATGGAAATAACCGCGTACATGTTTGAAATAAAATAACTGTCATTTAATGTCACGGACAAGTGTTTAAGTCGGCATTTTCAGTGACAATTTCACGTTACAAAACAAATCTGAACGAGTTGCACTTTAACGCACCATTTAAGCAACGCCTATAGTCAGATACAGTTATGAAAGTGCAATATCGAGGGCCCCGGTTTTCACGTGTGTTTCCCCCTACTGATCCCCACGTGCAGTAGCTGGTGTGTCAGGACAGCGCGAGCACCTGGAGTCTGGGCCGTCTTCAAAGTTCAAAAGACAACTTCGTCCAAATGACATCAAACTTCACTGTTTTCACTCCATCTGTCCATTTTATGCCAAAATGTCCATGCAAATAGTGCAGAGAGTCTCACCGGGATGCATAGTGGCATTATACAATAGGACGTCACATCAGGGCTGCTGAGTTTAGCAGACTACAGAGATTCTGTCCCTATACCAAAGCACTATGTTACTTAAGTTTTGCATCTTGATGAGACACCAGCAATGCACAGAGACAGCTGCTCTAACCAAGTAAAGACCCATCTCTCACTTAGACAGCTAAACTGAAGCCATAACCTCTGTTGTGATGACACAGCACTGTCAGATCTCATTTAGTAAAAATGAGAGTCAGGATTTAGTTTCTCTTTAAATCAGAGCCAAGAATTAAATACCTTATAACAATATCCAATTTTAGCTCAAAGACACGGAGACAACTTTGCCAAAAGTGTTACAAATGTATGTGATATGATCCACAAACCTGAACTAAGTGTACACCGTGATTTATGTGTAACTTTTGAGGGTTAACAAATGAGCGCTCCAGTCCACACACAGACATGCACCTGAACACATTGCGATCATTTGCGCACAACTTTTTAAGTTCATCATTTTCTCTTTGACAAAGGTTCCTGTGAGCGCACGTAACGTCCCTGCTGGTCGCTTACAAAACCTTAAACGTATGCACAAGAATCGTTGATACCTACAGATTGCGTCACATGCCCGGGAGAGGTTCTGAGACGGCGGCTGCTTCTCACAAATCCAAAAATCTAAGCTACGTTCATGGCCCAGTGGAAAACGGAGACATCTGGATTTCTATTGTATTTTTTTCTAATAAACAGATGGGTTCATCTCTCCACTAGAAAACACAGATATTATTTTATTCTTTAAATAAGCTGCCGCTACATGCTGGATGTTCATCTGCTGGGAAAAGTCAGTCAATGCTCAGTTCGTTTCTGCTCTGCCCGGTTAGATAAACCCTGGAGACGAAACGGCGGAAGCCAGATGTTCCTTTTTTTTACTGTGACTTGAATGCAGCTTAGTTTTGTGGGTTTGTGTGAGGCTGGCTGGGTCAAAGTTGTGCCAAAACCCCACGTCGGCATGCGACGTGATTTGTGCGTGCCAGGCCATTCGTGCGCATTTATGGTTTGTAAGAGAGCGAGGGGGCGGTTACACGTCGGTTTAGACATGCGTGTGCACAGGAAGCTTCTTCACAGAGAAAATGATCCGATTTGTGAAGCCGAACTTAAGGCGTTGTGCAGAAACGAGCAGTATTTCTTCAGGTTTGGATGCACGGATTTGATAAATGGTTCTACGTGTGGTCAAGATACATGCAACTGTGAGCCCTCAAAGGTTACACGCAAATCACTGTGCACATTTAAAAAGCTTGTTTTGGGCTTGTAGGCATTCAAAACACTTTCTCTCTATGCAAAGATCATCAGGTTTACACTGCAGTGTCAGATAATGTTCTATAAACTGATTCATATCATATCTAACAGCTGCAGAGGTACAGAAGACGAAATATACATTTGTATTTTTTAAAAGCTTCCTTTGTCTGCTGTTGTTTTTAATGGCCTGGTCCTTCTTGGTTTCCAAAGGGATGCTTTGCCTTCTTTACTTTTGTCTCTAAAAGATGCCCCAAAGGTGTTTCACTTGTTTCAAGTCAGGCAACACACCTCTCCAGGTGATAGTTTTTCTTTTGCCTGTATTAGAAACACTCGTGAGTTTTGCCAACATGTTTTGCTTTGTCATCATCTCTTTTCTGGAGGATTCTGGCGACTCGGTCATCTCGTTAGCTTCTGGTATACGTTGAGGCATTCATGGTGCCACCTACCAAAGACACCTCCTTCATGCAGCCTCATAAGATAAACTCCTACCCCCACATCTAATATTCTCCAAATATTCATCAAGTGTCTTTTCATGTTTTATTTATTTTGTTTTTTGGATTCCCATCGCACACAACATGAGTGATCGTGTCACCAACTCTCACAGAAATTTGCAAATCCACTTTTGGCCCTTGTGCTAACTAAGAAACAGTCTTTAGTGTCATTCCTGCACATCTTAGATAGTTCAGCTCAGTTCTTTTCCATGTGGACACATGGTGGACACAACCCATTAACAAATACTGACAACGCTTTGGTGTCCGAGCATTTCACAGGCCAGAAGAAACTCCCCTGCGTTGCAGTATGCATGCGTTTGTTGCATTGTTTCAGCTGTGGAGCAGTTTTTTAACTTTGAAATACCGCAGTTACTGAAGACACATCTCTGTTGTATTCTGTACTCACTCATGCAAAGCCATCAGCAGAGGGCGCTCAGAGCCCATTTATGAAACATACTTCACTTGCTGTCATTCTATCAACAAATTACTCAGCAATCATTCATATTTTCATTTTCAGAAGTCATGTTACTCTCTCAGAAGAATTAAGAAGCTGATGGGAGGATCCATGGGAGGAAGTGGGTGAATACAGCATGTATTCACTTGTCGATCCATCCCTCAGATGCAGTATAAACGTATAAATGTAAAGGAGCTGCAGGTTCATTGTGGTTATTTGGGATAATTTTATATTTGAATCCAATAAGGTTTTTAATTTGAACAAATATGATGCTAACACTTTCATTCCAGCAGTAAATTAAGTCTGGAAAAGTCAGACTTGCATTGTTACTCCAACCTAAATGGTAAAAAAAAAAAGAAGAGAAATCTATTAACTAGTTTCTCGTTTGAAGCGTTTACCTGAAGCTCTCTGAGCTCTCCACATCACAGACTGCTTCTATTGGCTGTCCATGTGCACGTCAGCAGTCACTGCTGCATCCTGAGCCCCAGCTGTTGCTGTGTCACATCTTCTTTACACCAGGGGCCGAGGCTTTGGTTGACCTAGTTGCTGAAAAGCCCATAAGGCATGGTCAAAAGCAAACTACAGATTACACACAGAGAGAATGAAGTGTTTTGTAGCATGAATTGATATTTATTGGTTTGGAGAGGAGTCTGTTTCTTTCTTTCTTTCATGTGGTTTTAATAAGTTGTACGACCAACAATGCTGACTTTGTGATTTCAACCACGGGACATACTGTGTCAGTCAACTTCAGTATTAAAAGTACACAGAAGCATCACATCAAGTCCACCTTAACCTTTACAACACCAATGTGGACTAAGTGGCACAAATCAGATACTGAATATTTGAAAGTCTTAAAATCCTTTTCCTGTATCCCATGTCACATTTAGGTGAGCTCTTCGTTGGACCTACTTTTCTTGTACAACAGCATCATGAATTCATCTGAATCGGTTTCCATTCAGTAAGAGAACGTTTGTATTTTCCAGATTCCAACAGATAGCAGACAGTGAAGGCAGCCATGCTCACTGTCCACTTGAGTCTTTGACTACATCCTCATTCTGTGGTAGACTGAGCAGTTCCTGGATCCTCTGCATGTCCTTATTGGTTTCCTCCACCTGAGAGCTCACATTCAAGTTGGAAATCAGCTCATCCGTCAACTGCAAACGGGCTGTCCTTTTATTGAAAACACCAGCTCTGATTAACCAAGAAGCATCAGGATAAAATGACACTTTGTATTTATTTGTGATAGATCTTACCATTCTGCAAGCTTGTGCTCATACAGTTCCCTGCGCTCTCTCCTGCGCCTCTCTCGGATCGTCTCTCCAGTCAGGGACTGCAAGGCAATGACCAGAGCACCAACCGGAATCCTGTGTAGAAGTCAGTGTGTATAACTAACTGTGATGCACACCTTTACACTTTTACACAGATCAGTTCATCAGATAGTCTATGTTGTATAACATAAAACATATCAGATGCCAGTTCAATGGAAGCATCGACCCTGTAATAACTTCCTTAAACAGTTTCTACAGCTGCTGCGGCCCAGCTTCTCCAAACCCTCCGCACTTTCCACTCACACCTCTACGACATGAATAAGGAAACCATAATGGTTAAAGATCTGGAGCGTGATGTGCTTTGCAATTAGCTGCCTGCTTTCATGCCGCCCCTTCTGCCCCAGCTACACCTGGCGTAGCCGTGGCTGGAGCCATTTGCCCACATCAAATGCTCCAGGTGGCTGGCCACTGAAGCAGACAGTGAGAGGAAGAGGAGGAGGGAGCAGTGCTAGTGGAGGGCCAACTGGAAGTATGGCTAAGCCATTATGGAGTTGACCACAGGGATGATCCAAACTAGACCCTCCTCTGTTACACCATCAAAGGCAACACACTCAATTTGCAGTTATACAATCTGCATTTAGCTGTGTGCGCTCAGCTGAAAGGACAAGCGAGGCTAAAGTGGGCCAGGCTGTGAAGATGAGACAGAGGATGAAGCACCTCCAAGTCTACATCAGACCACGGTAGAAGGACACAAGAGGCTGGAATAACACCGATGGTATAAAAGGAGAAGGGCAGCTGCTGCCTTGGCCCGTCTCCTTGGTTCAGTACCCAAAACACTGTCCTCTGTGGTACACGAGTCCCTCTGGCACCACGAGCAGATTTGGAAGGGAGTGGGGAGGAGGAGGGGGGAGGTTCAGCTGGGTGACAGAGGGTTGCTGGGAGGGGCGCAGCTGGCTGCCAGAGTGCTCACTGACTTCGAGCACACAGGCATGAATGTAAATACACACACACATACACGAGAAGGCATGCATGCATGTCAAAAAGTAAATACACAGCATCTGATAATAGAAGTCAGCTCAGTACTGAGGACTGAGCATGTTCTATTACATCAGATGGAAAAAAAGTTTAACATGCACTGTTGGGACTGGAAGTCAAAGAATTCTTGTAGAAGCAGAAGCCAGCCTTACCCCAGCACTGCTCCGATCACCGAGCCCGCTACCAGCCCTCTCAGGCCCAGGTTCAGTCTGAAAAGGCCTACAGTCACAGCTGCTCACATACAGAGTTTCATCATTTCAATGTGCAGGAATTTGTACTGGACATGTTGAAAGAACACTTTTATTGTCAAGCAATAATTAAACATAGATTCTGGGTGTAACTGAACAGACGTGTCACATTTTAATATCATCACATACGGTCCTATTTTAGTGGGCATTTATTATAGAAATAACTGAAAACAATCACAGTTGGAACTACAACCTGCAGGCGCCCTGATCAGATCACGTGACTCACCTCCAGCTGCAACATACTGGCTGACTGCGTCTTTGTCTTGGTACACGGAGAGTCCCGTGCTCACAGAACTACACAGGGAGAGGAAACACACACGATGTTGAGTCAGTGAGGCCAAAACAAACTGACCGAGGTATGCTAGCAATGTTAAAGCACTCGCATCCAATAAACATCTGCACATTGTTTATGTGACATTCAGCATTCTGTGCATTCTCCTGTTATTAATACTCCAGATCCACAAGCTGATTTGACCCCTTGTAAAAGTAACACTACACACACTTTCCTCACATGCTCCACCTGTTTTTTGTTTTTGTTTACCTGAACAAGGTAACTATCACAGCCACTCTCCAGCTCCATCTCCATCCATATCTTATAAACCCCCGGATAGCTGCATTGTGTGCTGAGCGCTGACAGACAGAACAGGCACAGACAGACTTTTACTTTTATTTGCAGCATTATTCTCAATGCTCCACTTCAGACCCCATAAATAATAATTCAATTAAATAAGAAACTATGACATCACAATATTAAAGCTGAACACAGACATCATTCATGGAACATTTGCACCCAAAACCACAGCAGATATGGTTTTAAAGGCACAGATTTCACTTACCACTGCGTCCACACGATTAGTGTATAATTCTGCCTGGCTGACTTGGATATATCTCTCCCTGGCGTGGCGAGCTGCTGGCAAGCCCCCATAGACAAAGCCTGCAAGTGCACCGAGAGCACTGCTGTTTACAACATTGGTGATCTCCTCTGGGTATTTCTGAGTCACACTAAACAGGGACGAGAATTTTCCTTGTAAGTTTAAAGCCAGTAATGAGTGAACTTGTTACATTAGAAGCCATTAGAGCAAAAAGCCATTGAAAACTAAAGGATGCTGCAAGTTTAGTTAAATAATCTTAACTCATCAACTACATGATTCACGATGAATTCGACACCACAGTGTCTACATATACACAAAGACCTTTTCAAAAACACCAAGACACAAACAAGTGAAACAATGTAACAATAAAACTAACTCTCTGTCAAAGAGATCTTTGATGCGCTCCCATCCCGTGCTCGGGAATTCTGGCTTCCCGATGTTTTTCGGGAGGCTGCTGGACGAAGGGATAGCTACAGGAGCAGTACTGGTGAAGGAAGAGGATGATGAGGAGGAGGAAGAGGGCATCTGTGCAGCAGCCACATCAGCTGCGTGAACCCTGGGGAGCAGAAAGCAGAAGAAAGGAGGCCTGGCACGCTGGATGAAGCCCTGCAGTTGGCCGGTGCTCAGCGTGCCCTGAGGGGCTGAATCTGCCAGTCGTCTCTGCAGGGCAACGCTTGTCCTGCGTGGCTCTGGATGCATCACGCTTCAGCTGCTGATGTGCTGCAACAGGGAGAAACACATGGTCACGGGCTGAGACGCCACACTCGCCGCCTCAGCTCAAGCTCCATCCTCAAAACCAAGAGCCTCGAGGCGAATGAAGGCCTGGCAGTGCTGCACAGGCTGTTTGACTAGGCAGCTGTTGAATTCTACAGTCCTATCAACAGAAACTGGGAAAATAGGACTTTTTTCCTCCCCCAACTGTAAAATACACTATTGATCTCTCAGAGCACAAAACCTCAGATCTGCTAATCAGGATGTGTCAACTGCTCCGGGGTCAAAGGTAAAAATAAAAGGTCACAGTGACCTTATTCTGCCTGAGATTTTTTTAACCAGAGCACAAACAGTAAATATATAAGGAAATATTCACATTTATTGAACCATCCACAGTAGAAGAAATAAGATTATGAGTCTGAGTCTGTTTGCACCAAGGCGCGAAACAATCAAGCTGTATTTGAGAGGAAACAATACTATTTTACAATTTTGTTTATCTAAACAATTTGAATGAACCTAACCCTGTATTTTCACTCCTGCTGTAAGACTATGGAGTGGCCACTCAATGACACAAACTCTGATGGCAGCAACTCAGTGCATTCAGGCATGTGGATCCTGACCTGCTGAAGTTCGAACTCAGCATCATAATGGGGAGGAAAGGGTGGTGTGAAAAGTTGTTTCCAGCACCTTTGTGAGTCAATGTCACAAAGAATTGAGGTAGTTTTAAAGGCAAAGTGGGTCCAACACAGTTCTAGCTGTTGTATCCCCTCAGTAGGGAGAAAAATGGCTTTGGTGATTGATTTGATTGTGTTGTTTTAACCCAACAAGGCAGAATATTTTTAATAGCATTTAGGCTGTGTTCATCTGAAATGGGTGTTTGTTTATGCAGAACCTTATACTGAGGACTATTTGGATTATTTCTGGCGAGATTTTATTAATAACAATTAATATATTTTTTTAAAGCCAGTGTGCTGGTGGATAAGTGATGCCACATAACGCTGTCTCTTCATACAGTGCTCCTGTCAGGTCAAACTGTGCATGTGCTGTTGCTCAGGCTAACACAGCAGCAGCACGTTATTTATGACAAACAGCACAGTTTTACGTAACAGCTCCCAAAACGCGACACCGGTTTTCATTACGGTCGGTTTTATGCTCCTCGTTTGTTCAAACACTGGTGTGCAACAACCCCTCGTATGGTTAGCATGCTGTTAGCCTCTGACACATCACAGCAGGTGCAAAACAACTTACTTGAATCCCTCTGAAATGAACCGCTTGTTTTTACAAAGACGTGCCGTTCCGATTAATGTACGAAAATACAGATATTTGTTTTTCATAATGCCCTTCAGAAGAGCGCTTTACTATAGTTCCCACATAGTCCACCGGCGTCCAAACCTTTCACCCCTGGCCAAGACTTACAGCTGAAAGACTTGAAAATAGCGCCGCCTATCGCTGGAGGACTAACACAGTTGCTGTTACCGTTGCTGACACAACCGGGTGGTTTAAGTTTATGATGGGTTATTATTATATAGTTATTTAGTTAAGGGGTAAAACCTTAACTAAATACAGCGGGCACACGTGAATATTATATATACATACATACATGTACAGCAAGAGACAAAAACAAAGACAAAAGCGTGACAAAGACAGTGTTAAAAAGTTTTAACCAGTTTATTGAGATAAAAACAAACACTATGACCAGACACATCATCTCAGCTTCTTTTTTTCCTCAAATAACCGAATACTACAACATATTCAACATGATCATGTATCAGTTACATCATCTATAATGTCTTGATTTCAAGGCAGCTTTATCAGAAATGGTAAACAAAGTGGTTACTCTGAATATTATTGCTCACTGCTGGCACTTTGTGTAAAAGAAAGTGTCCTTCTATCTATGTTCTAAAATCGATGGCGGTGAAATGTAGACTGATATAGCTAATGATTTGCATTCCGGTTATCATGAAACTTAGTAAAAGTCTAGAGTTTTTCCAGTTGCCCAGTAGAGGGCAGTGTAACAAAACTTATCTTTAGCAAAGCTTTGCAATCAACTTCACTGGTGGCAAAGAAGAAACTCTACTACCACATGATCCTCACCAGTTTTAGCCACTACTTTAATGTCTGGTAGGTGGACTACACATTATTTTCTGTACTGAACTGTACTAAACATAGATTCATTTAATATCAAACTATTTGTTGTTCATTAAATTTTTCCAACATGGTAAACCTGGTATCCTTAACTACCACTTGATAATTACACATCTTTTGTAAATATCTGAACACCTGTCGTCCATTTCCATTACAGCTTTCAATGACTTAAAGACAGGAATGCATTATATTTCCATTATGATCCTTTCCTGGAGAATTAAAGTTTTAGTTTCAATAAAAACAACTGTCAGACCAATCTAGGGGCCCATCAGTAGGAGTAATTGCTCTTTTGCTCTCTACATGGACAAGTTACCTGCATGCAACCAAAGTTTGCTCAAAAACCCAGATCTACAACTGGACAACAAAACACAAACCAGAAAGCTTCTAGTACCAAAATTCTTGCCTCTCGCCTACAGAGTCTAAATATTCACATGTAATCTAGTTATAAAAGTTACTCCCAAACTGATATCCACCAACAATCCCTTGGATTTTCCTTTACATATACCCTTTACATTATGATTTCCACTAACCTTGATAATGTCACTATAATATAATCAAAATAACAATCACAGCTATAACTTTTTGACAAATAAAAATAAACTGATGTATAAAATAATGGATTGCCTCTTTAGTGGCTTAAAACATGCGTTATAGTTACGCACTTGTGCTGGTTAGATGGATAACAGGCGCAAAAACAGTCGTCACATCTGGAAGTACTGAACTCATCAAACCAGAGTGATCAGTAAGGACTTTGGCACATAAGCCCCCTAGTGGCACCTGAAGATTCTTGCATTGCATTCTTGTGAAAGATTCTTTCACAAGAATGCATTGATTGAGGGATCCTTAGTGTACTCTTGCAAATGCTGGCTCTTTTAGAGAGACGTGTCAGTCACGTGATCTGATGGAAGAATGTACACCACAGAGAAACAGTGTGCACACTTTCCCCCTCTTTCAAAAGATACTGATAGAATCTTGTGGGCACAGATTAATTACTGGCAGCATCTACAGTCAGCTGCTTGTACAGCTGTGTAATCTAAGCCCACTAACTGGTGGACATGTGGGTCATTGTGTGGTCCACACTGGTCTCAAACACTGTAATAAACACAAATATATGAAGACAGCGTTAAAGCGTCAGACTTCAGATCAGTTAATAAAAACAGAATACTAACAACATGACACAGTGCTGCTTGAAAAGAAACCGTACACCCTGGTTCAGTTACAGTCAGAATCTTCACAGTCTGGTCCCACACAGTCTGTCTTACAGCTCTGTTTTGCTGGCTCGGTGGACTATCTGGTTGTAGCTGTTCTTTCTTTGGGGTTTGTAGGTGAGAAGCTGGCTGAACATGGTCAGAAGTCTTTCCCAGTAGCAGGAAACATCTTCCATTTGCAGGTGGTTGAGGATGAATTCCTTCCCCCTGTACAGAGGTTGGGAAGCAGAAAAGTCACGTGATGCTGGGAGAAGGTTATCGCAGCTACTCCTGCTCAATCATGAAGTTCTGATCTCTCACCTTGTAGCCATTTCCTGCGCGATGGCATCGTTCTCTTTAACAAACTGGAGCAGCTCCCTGAGGACACAGAGTGCAGACACATTTATATTTGCAAATTCTTCCTTACTTGGCAAATAGTACTCCTGGGCGTGCATAGAATAGAGATATTTCAAAATAAAACATGAAATAAAATAACAAATAGAGTTTGAGAGCTCACTTTAAAATCCCCATCCAGCCTTCTTGTCAAGCTCTCTGGTTTGCTACAAGCTATTAGTTGTTTCACCAGCTTGTTGGCATTTATCCAAACGCTTTGGCTTGAAATATACAGTCAGCGTATCGCTATATGTTCACGGATGCAATTAAAATGTGTAAATTTGCACATTTACCTATATAACAAATTATTATTGTGTGTCATCAGGTTTAAATTGTCAAAGCTGGTTGTAAATACGTTCCTTTGTTCTATAAAAGGAATATAAAAGGCCTCACATTTTTAAATTGGACAACAGACAGAAGGCTACACACACACTGTATAAAGACTCTTTTTTTCCTCCATCCACGAACACAAGCTGCCATCTTCTTTTCTAAACCAAAGGGACGTCTTAACAAATACATTTAAACAACAAAACTAACGATGCACACACAGACTTCATCCACACGTCTGAGGACTAGAGATGTCACGATACCACTTTTTTATGTCCGATACCGATATCATAAATTTGGATATCTGCCGATATGAATCCGATATAGTGTATTTTTAATCAATAAAACTGTTTTTTTAATATCTTGCTGCATTTTGTATAAGTTCATACTGAAGTTTAAAAAAAAACAAAAAAACACTAAAGCTATACCACAGCCACAGCCGCTCTATCACGTGACGCATACTGCTCGACGTGCTAAGGTTATGAGCTGAGTTACGCCGTGTTGCAAGTTTTGTGAGGTGCTTTCGTGATATTTAATGGATCGGATTACATTTTTTATTTCTCTCCGATATCCGATCCAGTAATTTAGGTCAGTATCAGACCGATACCGATAGTAATATCGGATCAGTCCATCTCTACTGAGGACACAAGCTGACCTACCTGAGATCCGACAGATCCTGCCTGACTGGGATGTAGTGGACCCAGGGCTTGAGCTGAGGGTAAAAGAATTCCTGCCATTCGTCTCCCACGTGAAACACCAAGGAGCCGCACAGGAAGAGATGTTTGAAGCGAAAACTTGCTGCCACACCACGGAAGTTGAACAAATACCTGCAGGAGATTGGAAAGAAGTCATCCGTTAGACTGCATGGCACAACAAAGCTGCTGTAAACTCAGCTATAAGACATGTCTTTATAAATGCTACTTTTGGCTGTTCTCATGCCACGAGGGTGTCGCCACAGCACCTGCAGCTCAATCCTTCTGTTTGCAATGAGCAGCCAATCAGAAGGAAGGTGGTTTAAAGAATTGGAGCTAAAAAGCCTTGTTTCAGACAGGTCTGCCTTTCATTTTATCCTCTAAGGCCCAGGATTTCAGGAGGATCATTCTGATTTGTAGATCACACAGAGCTGGGAAAGAGTATAATGGTTCCTCTTTAAATATGAATGAAATACAGGCAAAGTCAAGAGAATGAGCTCACTTGTATTTGCAGTGATCTACCAGGGGAATTTCCTTGGCAGGGGGTCTCCCAAGAGTATCCTAAAACGCAGCAAATACAAAAAAAGTCATTTAAAGTCAGTCTGATGGATTCCACTGTAAAAGTGACTAATATGTCCTATAACAATGAAATGATCGTATATAAGCAGGATCAATTTAAAAAGAATCTTACTGATTTCAGATTATTGCAAAAGTCTGTGAGCTCAGTGTGGTGTGGTGTCAGTGTGATTGACCTTCTCAGACTTCCAGGCTTGGTTCTTTGTATATTCTGCATCTACCAGCTCTGGAGCTTCTCTGGACAGAAGGATGAGAGGGTCGCGCTCAGGGCTGGTTCTACCAAAGAAAGAGCACAGTCCAGAAGACATGATTTAGGGTCCTACAGCTAGCTACACATATGATGTAAATGTATATGAAAAGAAAAAGAATAAAAAGAATTTCCATAGAGAGTTACACAAAGTGAACATCTTCACAACACTGACCTGGAACCTCTGAAAAATCCTTTAGACTCTTTCTTCTTCCATGGCCACTGTGCTGCAGAGCTAAAACACAACACATTATTAGCAGTAGTACTATTAGAAATGTTGTACGTTAAAATCAACATTTTTTATTTAATATAGAAAAGAGTGAAGATATTCTTTTAATAAGGATATGAAAAGGGACCACCTAAATGAATTCAAAGTATGGAGAACAACAGGAACAGCTCATGATCCGAGCCATACCACATCATTGTCAAACACGGTGGGAACATTGTGATGTCATCAGTATGGCTACCAGTGGAACACCAGTGTTCATTGATGGGACTGCTGACAGAAGCAGCAGGATTCCTCCAAATGCTGGAATATTATTATATTTAAGATTATGGTAGTTTGTCCAATTCACTTTGAGCTTCAAAAAATGCAGGACTGTGTATAAAAGTGACCGCAATTTCTAAATTACATTTCTAATTTCTTCAGTGCACATAATTGGACAATGGTCCAAACTGTATGTTCACTAGTCAGCTCCTCCCCTCACTAAAGTGCAAACCTTACTTTTTAAGGTCATCCCTCATCAGATCCCATCTTCCCAGTCCGGTGGGGTAAATGGGCCACACAGCAGGTCCGCCTTCCCAAAATGTCCATGCTGGGTACATGATGTCGTTGTAGTCTGAGGTCTACTTAAAAAACAAACATCCACATTTCAAGAACACTTACTGCACTTAATAATAGTAATAACACATCCATGTGTACCTCAAAAACACTGCCCACATTCTGACCTTACTGAAAGAGAAGACTGGCAGGGTTGGCTGCACCCAGTTGGGGACTTGAGGGTAGTCTCTCACATTTACAACCATCTCTAAGTCAGGCAGCTTGTCAATCACCTCCAGTATGAAGTGCTCCACCCCACTGCACCTGAAAACAGGGAAGTGGCCCACATCATGTCATCGATACAACTACCTGATGTTCAGACAAGTAACAATGACTTGTATCTGATCAGTTTCTAAAAATCACACCAGGTCCTGCTTTACCTAGCAGGGAACATGCAGTTTTGCTCCCTGTACAGCTTGTGTCCAATGATCTGGTAGTGGGTTCCCACTCCTCTCTGAACCGTAGCAGCCATGACATCCTGTGAAATCCCCCCTTTAAAGGTCTGCAAGTCATGCTGTAGGACACTGAGACAGACGGCAAAGTTCATATTATGCTTTAACTTACACAATGGGAATGAAGCAGTAAACATGCATGTGATCAGTATGTCAGATACTATACGTAGATCTGACACTTATTTCATAATAAAGAGGTTTCTAACAGAATGATCTTTTGCCTGGATTCAGTTCATATGCAAGAAAGATAAAGTGCACCAACCTTAGGTGGCAGCTACAGTTGACAGGTTCACATGGAGTGTACCCTTTAACAGTATCCGATATCCTTTCTTTAACTTTCTTCCACTGGTTGCCTGAAACATCACATATAAATGGAGATTTTGCTATTTTGTATCACATTTAATAGAGTCAAAATCATTCAGTAGGTCACAAAAGAGCCCAGCATCTAAAAAGAACTGCAGGCCTCACTTGACTCAGTTAAAGTCAGTGTTCTTGATTCAACGGGAAGAAAGCGAGTGGGCAGAAATGGCTCATTGCTGTAATTGATGGAACCATAAATTCTGCTCTCTACCAAAAGATCCTGAGTGACAATGTCTGGCTGAAGCACACCTATGCAGCAGGACAATGATCCAGTACACACCAGGAAGCAGGAAGTGTTGTTTGCCAGTCTGCCAACAAAGGAAATATTTAGGGAAGAACAGACGTGTTATTTTTAATGTATTGTATCTAACCAGATTCGCAGCTGCCTGTATGCCCTTTTTGTTTTCAGTCCCTTTTACTAATAACAGTTCAGATGTTCATTATTAATTTTAAAAAAATCTACAACACAGATGTGTGTGATATTAAATTTGAAGAAACTTTGAAATATGAGTGGACACCTCGATTGTGCTGTTAAAGTTTGTAGCATATTACAATCTTAGGCTTTATAAGGGCTTTACAAGGGCTTTATAAGGGGCTGAGAGCTTACTTTTGAGCTTCCCTTTGCTTAAGCCAGAGCATTTGCGCAATCCGTTAAGAGTCAACACACGTCGATGGAGTCTAAAGAACAAGGGAAAACCTACACGCGCGGCTGTTTCGCAGTTTGCAAGTCTCTAATTTACATAGAATCAATGTATTTGTGTAGGTTAGGTTTTTTAGAGCAAGCAGACCATACAGGTTAACAGCACTTCAAGTAACTCCTGCACGAAAACACTCTGTCATGTAATGGCTCGACTATAAATTATCGTACTGAATGTGAGTGTGAGAGAAAGAGCAAACTCTTACCCATCATTCATACCAACCTAAAAGTTAGCTGCTGGGCTAGTTAGCTAACACCGGTGAATTGATGGTTGCCTATAGCACCAGAAGTCATCTTAAAGAGCGACGGACAAATAAAAGCTCACTAGTTCTTTTTTTATAACAAATTCAAAAGGCGTAGGTGTTTAAAAATAGATTACCTGAAGCACCAGCCAAACACGCGTGAAAAACTTTCACTACTATTAAAATCCTCCACAACCAAAACCACTCCATTTCCCCTCTATCCTCCAGCTTTGTCTGACGAGGAGAATCTGCGCCGTTGTTATCTGCGGTCCGCTACTTCTGGCTGGGTTACAGTCATTACGGTAATGCTCGCAGTGAAATTCATTTGTTCGTTACCGTAAAGCTTAAAACACTGAGGGATTGTACTGGTGTCAAGCCAGCCTCCAGTTTGTTTTACGTTCCCTGTGTATTCAAAGTATTACGGGAATGGATGTGGAAACCGGATTTCAAAATAAAAGCCAACTTCGAGTGAATTAACAGATATGTTAAGAACATAATAACATATAATTTAGGCTTTTTTTTTTACAAACTCTAATGTTAGATCTATATGACACAGCCTTGTACCCTAATTGTGCCCTGTCACTATCAAGGCCATCTTATTTTGGATTTCAAAGTAAAAGCCCTGTGAATCTTCATTTTTGAACTACTCTTTCAATGACTTAATAATGCTCTTAAAAGCAAAAGTCGTATTTCCAAATACTATTTGAACTTTATATCAACACTTTCCAACCACAGTCTTTTTACAGTGATACCATATCAATATCAAGTCAGTCTGATTTTGCCTTTCATAGTAATGGCCCTTTGAAATTGTCCATAATTGACTTAATCTTCTAACGATTCAAAATGCTCTAAAATGAAAAATTCTTGTTTCCACAGGGTAATTCCACCTTAGATCAACAGTATACAGCCCCACAGTGATACCATATCAATATCAAGTCATTCTGATTATGCCTTCCAAAATAAAAGCCTTTTTAAATTGTCCATAATTGACCTAACTTTCAGTGATTTCAAAATGTTTTAAAATGGAAATTTCCTGTTTCCACAGGGTAATTCCACTCCAGATCAACAGTATACAACCTCACGATGTTACCATATCAATATCAAAACATTCTGATATTGCTTTAAAAAATAAAAGCATTTTCAAACTGCCCATATCTGAGTTGCTCCTGGAACAATTTCAAAATGCTCTAAAATGGCACATTCCTGTTTCCACAGTGTAATTCCACTTTAGATCAACAGTATACAGCCCCACAGTGATACCATATCAATATCAAGTCATTCTGATTTTGCTCTCAAAAATAAAAGCCTTTTCAAATTGTCCATAATTGACCTAACTTTCAGTGATTTCAAAATGCTCTAAAAAGGAAAATTCCTGTTTCCACAGGGTAATTCCACCTTAGATCAACAGTATACAGCCCCACAGTGATACCATATCAATATCAAGTCATTCTGATTATGCCTTCCAAAATAAAAGACTTTTTAAATTGTCCATAATTGACCTAACTTTCAGTGATTTCAAAATGCTCTAAAATGGAAATTTCGTGTTTCCACAGGATAATTCCACTCCAGATCAACAGTATACAGCCCCACAGTGATACCATATTAATATCAAGTCATTCTGATTTTGCCTTCCAAAATAAAAGACTTTTCAAATTGCCAAGATACGACCTACTCTTTTAAAGATTTCAAAATGCTCTAAAAGTGAAAATTGCTGTTTCCACAGGATAATTTCACTTTAGGTCAAAAGTATACAACCTCACAATGTTACCATATCAATTTCAAGTAATTCTGATTTTGCCTTCCAAAATAATGGCCTGTTGAAAATGCCCATAATTTACCAAACTTTCAGTGATTTCAGAATGCTCTAAAAAGGAAGATTTCAGTTTCCACAGGGTAATTCCACTTTAGATCAACAGTATACAACCTCACGATGTTACCACATCAATATCAAGTCATTCTGATTTTGCTTTCAAAAATAAAAGCATTTTCAAAATGCCCATATCTGACTTGATCCTGGAACAATTTCAAAATGCTCTAAAATGGAAAATTCCTGTTTCCACAGGGTAATTCCACCTTAGATCAACAGTATACAGCCCCACAGTGATACCATATCAATATCAAGTCATTCTGATTATGCCTTCCAAAATAAAAGCCTTTTTAAATTGTCCATAATTGACCTAACTTTCAGTGATTTCAAAATGCTCTAAAATGGAAATTTCCTGTTTCCACAGGGTAATTCCACTTTAGATCAACAGTATACAGCCCCACAGTGATACCATATTAATATCAAGTCATTCTGATTATGCCTTCCAAAGTAAAAGCCTTTTCAAATTGTCCACAATTGACCTAACTTTCAGTGATTTCAAAATGCTCTAAAATGGAAATTTCCTGTTTCCACAGGATAATTCCACTCCAGATCAACAGTATACAGCCCCACAGTGATACCATATTAATATCAAGTCATTCTGATTATGCCTTCCAAAATAAAAGACTTTTCAAATTGCCAAGATACGACCTACTCTTTTAAAGATTTCAAAATGCTCTAAAAGTGAAAATTGCTGTTTCCACAGGATAATTTCACTTTAGGTCAACAGTATACAACCTCACGATGTTACCATATCAATTTCAAGTAATTCTGATTATGCCTTCCAAAATAATGGCCTGTTGAAAATGCCCATAATTTACCTAACTTTCAGTGATTTCAGAATGCTCTAAAAAGGAAGATTTCAGTTTCCACAGGGTAATTCCACTTTAGATCAACAGTATACAACCTCACGATGTTACCATGTCAATTTCAAGTCAGTCTGATTTTGCTTTTCAAAATAAAAGCTTTTTCAATTTGCCCATATATGACTTACTCTTGGAGCGAATTCAAAATGCTCTAAGATGGAAAATTGCTGTTTCCACAGCATAATTCCACTTTAGATCAATAGTATCCAACCCCACAGTGATACCATATCAATATCAAATCAGTCTGATGTTGCCTTCCAAAATAAAAGACTTTTCAAATTGCCGATATACGACCTACTCTTTTAAAGAATTCAGAACGCTCTAAAAATGAAACTTGCTCTTTCCACAGGATGAATCCATGTTAGATCAAAAGTGTACATCCACACCATGGTACTACTTCAATTTCAAGTCATTCTGATTTTGCCTTCCAAAATAATGGCCTGTTGAAAATGCCAATAACTTACCTAACTTTCAGTGATTTAGGAATGCTCTAAAAAGGAAATTTTCTGTTTCCACAGAATAATTTAACTTTAAATCAACAGTATACAACCTCACGATGTTACCACATCAATATCAAGTCATTCTGATTTTGCTTTCAAAAATAAAAGCATTTTCAAAATGCCCATATCTGACTTGATCCTGGAACAATTTCAAAATGCTCTAAAATGGAAAATTCCTGTTTCCACAGGGTAATTCCACCTTAGATCAACAGTATACAGCCCCACAGTGATACCATATCAATATCAAGTCATTCTGATTATGCCTTCCAAAATAAAAGCCTTTTTAAATTGTCCATAATTGACCTAACTTTCAGTGATTTCAAAATGCTCTAAAATGGAAATTTCCTGTTTCCACAGGGTAATTCCACTTTAGATCAACAGTATACAGCCCCACAGTGATACCATATAAATATCAAGTCATTCTGATTATGCCTTCCAAAGTAAAAGCCTTTTCAAATTGTCCACAATTGACCTAACTTTCAGTGATTTCAAAATGCTCTAAAATGGAAATTTCGTGTTTCCACAGGATAATTCCACTCCAGATCAACAGTATACAGCCCCACAGTGATACCATATTAATATCAAGTCATTCTGATTATGCCTTCCAAAATAAAAGACTTTTCAAATTGCCAAGATACGACCTACTCTTTTAAAGATTTCAAAATGCTCTAAAAGTGAAAATTGCTGTTTCCACAGGATAATTTCACTTTAGGTCAACAGTATACAACCTCACGATGTTACCATATCAATTTCAAGTAATTCTGATTATGCCTTCCAAAATAATGGCCTGTTGAAAATGCCCATAATTGACCTAACTTTCAGTGATTTCAGAATGCTCTAAAAAGGAAGATTTCAGTTTCCACAGGATAATTTCACTTTAGATCAACAGTATACAACCTCACGATGTTACCATGTCAATTTCAAGTCAGTCTGACTTTGGTTTTCACAATAAAAGCCTTTTCAATTTGCCCATATATGACTTACTCTTGGAGCGAATTCAAAATGCTCTAAGATGGAAAATTGCTGTTTCCACAGCATAATTCCACTTTAGATCAATAGTATCCAACTCCACAGTGATACCATATCAATATCAAATCAGTCTGATGTTGCCTTCCAAAATAAAAGACTTTTCAAATTGCCGATATACGACCTACTCTTTTAAAGAATTCAGAACGCTCTAAAAATGAAACTTGCTCTTTCCACAGGATGAATCCATGTTAGATCAAAAGTGTACATCCACACCATGGTACTACTTCAATTTCAAGTCATTCTGATTTTGCCTTCCAAAATAATGGCCTGTTGAAAATGCCAATAACTTACCTAACTTTCAGTGATTTCGGAATGCTCTAAAAAGGAAATTTTCTGTTTCCACAGAATAATTTCACTTTAAATCAACAGTATACAACCCCACAGAGATACGATGTTAAGATCAAGTCACTCTGATTTTGCCTTCCAAAATAAAAGACTTTTCAAATTGCCCGTAGACGACCTACTCGTTTAACGATTTCAAAATGCTCTTAAATTGAAAGATGCTGTTTCCACAGGATAATTCCACTTTAGATCAACAGTATCCAACCCGACAGTAAAACCATGTAAATTTCATGTTGGTCTGATTTCACCTTTCAAATTAATGGCCCGTCGAATTTGTCCATATGTGATATACTCTTTCAATTATTTCAGAATGTTTTAAAAATGAAAATTGCTGTTTCAACACATATTGGGTTTTCATTTTGAAAAGCAAAATCAGACTCAATTGATTATGACAGAATTGAATCATAAAGACGATGAAAAAGGAAGCTGAAATTGCCACTAGGTTGTAATTGATAGTACGTTTATATTTTAAGTCTGTGGAAAGATGTCATTCTAAATAAAGAAGTTAAAAAACAGCTTGCAAACCAACCATGACATCTTTCCACAGACTTAAAATATAAACGTACTATCAATTACAACCTAGTGGCAATTTCAGCTTCCTTTTACATCGTCTTTATGATTCAATTCTGTCATAATCAATTGAGTCTGATTTTGCTTTTCAAAATGAAAACCCAATATGTGTTGAAACAGCAATTTT